CTGGTGCAAGTCAAAAAAGAAAGCATTCAGCAAGTACTCAAAAAAGTATGAGAGCGAAGATCGGAAAAAAGACATCCAGGCTCAGTTGGAGAAAATGAAGAAATATTGCACTGTGATTCGTGTTTTAGCCCACACCCAGGTAAATGATTTTGGTTTGTTTTCTGAACAGAAAAAAAGTATGTGATTACTGGAGTGTTAAGTAAAACAGTTACCCTGTTTGCTGCCATTCCGATGTTCTATTGCTGAACTTTTATATAGAATTTAATCTTTTTTTGGCTTATCTTTTGCAGATTAGGAAAATGAAGGGATTGAAGCAGAAGAAAGCCCATCTGATGGAGATTCAAGTGAATGGTGGGGACATTGCAAAGAAGGTTGACTATGCTTATAGCATGTTTGAGAAGCAGGTTCCTGTTGATGCTGTTTTCCAGAAAGATGAGATGATTGACATTATTGGGGTTACTAAGGGGAAGGGTTATGAGGGTGTGGTGACTCGATGGGGCGTCACCCGTCTTCCACGTAAGACCCATCGTGGTCTACGTAAAGTAGCCTGTATTGGTGCCTGGCATCCAGCTAGGGTGTCGTTTACTGTTGCCAGGGCTGGGCAGAATGGTTACCATCATCGTACTGAGATGAACAAGAAGATTTACAAGCTCGGAAAGGCTGATCAAGAGTCGCACTCTGCAATGACTGAGTTTGACAGGTTGGTGCCTCTTCCTTTGTTTTCTTCTTCGTTTGACTTCACTGGGATCGAATTTGCATCATTGGTTTACTTGGCTTAAACTTGAACTTTTACTGATGATATTAAAATGTTTTTATGTTCAGGACTGAGAAGGATATTACCCCGATGGGAGGCTTCCCACACTACGGTGAAGTGAAACAGGATTACCTTCTAATGAAAGGCTGCTGCGTGGGTCCTAAAAAGCGCGTTGTTACTTTGAGGCAGACGCTTCTGAAGCAAACATCCAGGGTTGCTCTGGAGGATATTAAGCTCAAGTTCATTGATACATCGTCCAAATTTGGCCACGGTCGCTTCCAGACTACCCAAGAGAAGGCGAGGTACTACGGGCGGCTCAAGGCTTAATCTGGCAATCGTGATCGATCCACAGTAATCCCCATTTTCTTTCATTTATTACTAGTGATTCAGACATTTTTATGTTTCTGGTTTGGATTGCAAGTTTTGCCTGCTTCCAGTTTTGTGGTGACAGTTTATTGGATTCTCTCGTTGTTTTCCCGTTTAATTAATCCCGGGAAGTGATCGTTTGGCTGTTTCTATCGCGTTAGCTCGTGATTCCTTCTATTCCTGTTCAAGCTTATTGCACAAGAAGATTTGAAGGGCGATTTCGATGAGAGTGTTTTGGATTAATTCTTATTAGTAATAATGCAGAAGAATTTTTGAAAAAATACTTAATTTGTTTCTGCGAAAAGCACTTTTAACAATAGGGCTTTTACTACTTCCAAACGAGTAAATACTTTGGACGATTTTTTGTGCTTATCCACCCAGACACCGCTCTATTGTTAATGATATTAATCTCATGATTCGAATTGGTAAATTTTCAAGTTCTTCAGATGCATCATGCGCTAATAGAAAATTGTTAAAATCGATTAGCCATTTGATTATTATTGTGAAAGGGACCCGTACATTTGTATAAAGTTTTGGGTTTTAATAAAAGGGCTTTTAACAAAAGGGCTTTTAATACTTCCAGACGAGTAAATACTTTTGGCGATTTTTTTTGCTTATCCACCCAGACACCGCTCCATTGTTAATTATATTAATCTCTTGATCCGAATTGGTAAATTTTCAAGTTCTTCAAATACGTTAATAGAAAATTGTTAAAATCGATTTAGCCATGATTATTATTGTGAAAGGGACCCACACGTTTGTAGAAAGTTTTGGGTTGATGTTTTATCACAGCCCACATACGTATTTGTTGACCCGGAAAAAAAATAAATAAATAAAAAAGGAAACTTTAAATAAAAGTTTTCGGTATTGTATATTTTAACGAAAAATTATATTTTCATATTAAAAAATCAATAATGTTACTATTTACTTTACCTTTTATTTTGTTCTTATAGTTAAAATTCAAAATTTTCAAATTATTTTCATTAATTTTTCTAATAAAAAAGGCAAAATATAGCATGTGAAATGGTAAAAACTGGTAGTACATATTTGTCCTTGAGGGGTGCCAAAACCAAATCCAAAACAAAGACAGCAGTCAGAGTCAGACGGTGAGACCATGTTGAACAATGAGAATGGCGTCGTTGTCGGAGGTCACGAAGGAGAGAGATAATATTAGTGTGGTTAGAAGTAGGTCGCTAATCCGAATTAAGTATTTATCTTTTGATTGTGTACTATATAGTGTTTTCACCTGATGGCAAGCCTTAAATAAAAAGAAAATATTTGCTAATAAGAGATTAAGTGAAAATGTCCTCTTTTTGAAGTGTCGAGAACATAAGATATTGAGTTACAGTCTAAATTCATTATTTGACAACAGTTATTGGCATAAGATACATGTGCTCTGAAAACTTTAGTAATGTTGTTGTTGTTGTTGTTGTTTTTTTTTTTTTTTTTTTTAATTTGAATTTAAGGTGTAAAAATATTAAAAATATGAAAGAGTAATGTTGCGGTTGTTGTTTTTGTTTTTATTTTTTATTTTTTTTAAATTTAAGGTGTAAAAATATTAAAAATATGAAAGAGTACTAGTTTAGATAGGCTTTCACATCAGTCTCAGACATGGTGATGGCCTTGTTGACAAAAGGCTTGTACTCAATGGCCAAGGCTGCCCCTCTCTTCCTCATTTTTCTCAGCAATTTATTATTATTATTATTTTAAATTTATTATTAAAAAGAAGCCGAATGAATACGAAATTATTATAATAATTTAGAAAAGGAAAGAGTTCTGAATTTGGCATATTTAGAAATCCAACACTCTATCTATTAAGATATTAGACCATATGCTTGATTTGTTTTTTAAAAAATTCCCCCTTTTTGTGTAAATCGGCTTGTGAAATGTCTAAAAAATAAGAAAACCGCATGCGAAAATCACTCTTCTTTAGTTTTTGTATCTTACTCGTGTCTAATCAGAATTCAAGATTTTGATAATAAATTCTATGGTCCAATGAAATATTATATTTTTATTCTTAAGACCACGCTACAAGGCTCTGCTTTGTGAGTCAACATGGTCCTTTACTTTAAAACTTTGCTTTGAGTTTTGGTGGGTTTTTCGTTGTAAAGAATTCAGGTAATTGGCTCTAGTGATTCTGACAAAAGTCTCAAAAGGGCATCTTTTATTTATAAAAATATGTCTATGAAGAACAATTTGATGTGGTCTACATGTCACCTCCTCCTTTTTGTAGCTTTGGTTTTTTATGCATGCTAATTGCTTTTGCTACCCCTATTGCCCCATTTTCTTTCTTCTCTTGAATCATTCCTTTCTCGTTGGAATAAAATCCACAACAAATTTCCATGTTCGGAATTTAGAGATTGAGATATCTGAACCGTTTTAGAGAAAGAAGATTTGAATTATACAAGTTTTTTAATTTTTATGAAATGGAATATTAAAATTAACTATTTTTAAAATTAAAATTAAGTGACTAGAATTTCTCGATCTATACATTTTGAATGATCCGAAGTAGATTTCAATACTTCCTCAACTGCTGGTACAGCACAGCTATGATTGATTCTATATCTCTCTCTCTCTCTCTCTCTCTAGATTTCCCACCTTAATTTTTTCATTTAAATTTAAATTTTTTGGTATTTTCATATTAAAATTTATTACACACCTTGCACCTGCAGCAGCCTTTAGTTCGTTTTAATAATCTTTAGCAGCTTTTTCTTTCTTATGTCTTTATTTTTTTGCTCTTTCTTTTTATTTAGTGGGTAATTATTGGAGATTATGTGAGATATTGTTCACCTTTCCATGATTACACTCCAATGCTAATGTTGGATTTGAAATCTTTGTGACGTTTAACCCAAAAGTTTAAAATTAGGTTCCACAAATTGAGTAGTTTCCCAACTCTATTTTTTTTCCTTTCTAGATTATAATTATAAACTTGGAAGATATGGAGTAGTTGAAATTAACGAAAGATTTGACGCAAAACATAGCGTAGTTGTGTTCTATAATTCTTATAGTCGACCATACTTAATGGAATAAAGGTTAATTGTTGTTTTTATAGTTATAAACTTGGAATGATCATGTTTGTGCATGTTGGTTAAGCACTTGATGCATATAATCTTTTACTCATTGGTAATTTATGTAAAGAAAATGTAGTAAATTATGCCAAGAATGGCTAAGAAATCATAACTTAGTGCTAATTTCCACCAAAGGGCAGATGGATTCATGTGGGTTAATGAGTAGGTTTAGAAATGCAAATTGTGACCTAAGTGAACTTTTTTAGAACAGTGTTTGACTCCTTACGTTAAAAAGTCATTGTTTTTTCCCTTACAATCATTCAGTCTCTTTTTCATCGTCATCTAAAAATCATCTTTAGAAAATTCATTTGATTTAGAGACTATTTAGTCATCCATAAGAATCAAACAAATTGATTTAGAGATTTATTTACATAATCGTCGATTTGTTTAACACATATGACTAGCTAAACAGAATTCAAAATGAATGATTTTTTTTCTTCTAGAGATGATCTTTAGATGATAAAGAGAATAAATGGTTTCGATTATGACGATTGTACGATGAAACGATATCACATAATCATTCAAGAATGAACGACTTCTCACATGTAAGAAGCCAAGTATTTTTTTTTTGTATGCTAATGATATTCTAGTCTAAATTAAGCTACGAGGAAAAGAAATTAAACTTGGTGCAATGGTAATATAGCTAACTTGGTTGTGTCCATATTTCATTACCCTAATTAAATGAAGTTTAGCACTTAAAAAAAGTCGTCAACTTTTAAAAAGCACCAAAGGGAGCGTTGTTTTTGGCTAGACAGACAGGGAGGCCCATTCTTTTGATTTCTTTAAGTTTGCTTCTTCAGACAAGGTATAGTATCCATTAAGCTAGGCATCAAAGATCATGAAGAAAAACATGAAAAGATGTACTACCAATTGCCAAAGGCAAAGGGATTATCATATAACTTTGTCTTTACATTTTCTGTGGCATTGGAGGATATTATAAAGCTATATAGCAGGGTGAGAGCTGTTTTCTTCTAAATAATACAATCAGAAGTGTGTGTGTGGGTAACTTGTTCTTCTGTGGCAGCTAGTTAAGCTATCGGATCGGAGACGATGATCACGGTTGCTGCTGTATCTGTGGAGCAGAAACAATGGATTTACTGCTTCTAAGACCAGGTTAGTCGTTAAACATCTAGATTTTATGTCATTGCACTGCTGATTATGTTCCTAATATTGTCCGAAAAATCTTTACTCTTTCGGTTGATTCCATTGGAACTTTTAGGTCTGTTGAAAATGTTGTTGAAGTGATTTTTTATACAAGCAGGATTCATTAATTCAGTCCATTTAACTTAATTCAGTGATTATGTTGTTTTGTGCATTTTCTGTAACGTGATTAGTTAAATGAATTAGAGTACTTGACCAAAAACCCAATGCTGCAACCTGAAAATGCATAAATGTTGCCCCCAATTTCAATGCAGTAAGCTGTTTCTTTTGCTGCAGACTTGGGCGTATCCAAGTTGGCTTGAGCAATTCGCTCCCCCCTCTGCTTGCAACTCCAAATTCCTCACGCCGTAATTTTAGATAAATTTAGTATAGATTATCGCTCCAAGTACTTGTTTGGTTTTGAATTTTCAACAGAAGAAATCCTTTATGTCTCCTGTATTATGCAACTTAAATTGAGTGGCAGATACATTTAAGTTGCTGATTATGGAATTTGTTTCCATTTTTCTGGTTTTTGTTTATCATGTTGATTTCAGCAGAGTATTGGTTTTCATGTGTTCCTTTTCAGCTTGAGGTTGAAGTGTTCAAAATGTATGTGCAAATACAAACATACAGATGAAGAAATATTAGCTGCAATAAGCATACATTCGATTACTCTCGTTAATTAGTTCGTAGCTTATCCACACCAAATACCCGAAATCAGCTGCTTTGTAGAGGGGAGAGGAAGGCAAAAGCCTAGTGACTGGAGACTATGAACGAGACTGGTTCTGAAAGACCAAAGCCATGGAACATATACTACACAAGTTCAGACCCTTCTTCTTCTCAATCAGGAATTGATCGACAGGTGCAATGGAAAGGCTCCGGGACATCGAGCATGAGTGCCATTTCTTACGGTTTTGTAGCCACGGCTATCTTGATTTCCATGTTTCTTATCATGGCTATCTTTGAACATTTATTTAAGCCAAGTCCTAATTCCTTTTCCACGCCTCAAGCTCTCACTCATCATGCTTCTCCCGAGTCCGGACATTTTGACAAGCATGGAAGAATTATTCCACAAACAGTAAGTTTGTTTCTACTTGGTATATATTGTTCTCGAAAGAAGGCGATTACATGTACTTGTTTGAGCTAGCCGATCATAATTTGTTCATCGATGTCACAGGTTTCAACATCATATGCGCCAGATTTCTCAGTAGTGATGCCGGGAGAGCAGTGTCCGACCTATATTGCACAACCAGCTCCTCTGCCGAGCTGCTCCAGGGAAGGGATTTATTGGCCTTCCCATGAACATAATAAATTTGTACTTCCTCGTTAGGATGATTGTAGATGATACTTTCACTGCGGCGTTATGTTATAACTACCGAGAGAGGCTGTTTGTATATCAATTTCCTGCCTGCGAATAACCTATTGTCCATTGACAGGGATTTTACCGCTATCAAAAGTAGAGATAAAAGCACTTGAAAATACTTGCAAGAGTACAAGGTAGTAGTTGTAGTATAAACGGCTCAAGCATGATTGTTTTCCACAAGGATTGATGAATAATTTGTGTTTAAAACCAACTCTTAATTAATTATTTAAAACAAAGTTTGGAAAATATAAATTTTGAGATTTAAAATAATAAAAACGAATTTAAATTAAAAACAATTAAATACATCAACTATAAACCAATTTAAAGAAAATCAATTTGTAAAAGTCCTAGGTTCAGCTGTCACCTTAACAATCCTATGTAGTTCTTCCAATTATATATGAACTACCCATGCATATTTTGAAGGTTAGGTTTTCCTAAATATATTCTACTTGGAACCTCCAATATAGAACGTATATCTAACGTGGAACTCGTTTGGACGTTCGGATCAAATATAAACATGAAAGACTCATTAAGTTTTATGAAAACCTTTTAAAAAATCATGCAATCCTTAAGACGTGGTGTTCATCCTAAGTGAAATTACAATTACTAACCACAAGAAGCCAATGCCAATTTCAGAGAACCTTTTGACCAAAATTGCATCAAATTACTTTTCTAAATATCATTAATGGTCGTGAATCACTAAGACAATTAGATAGTTTAAAACATTGATTAATAATTCAAAACATGCATGCATGGTATCATAAGTAAATTGAAAAGAAACTACATATTCTTGCTAAGGCTCATGGCTTCACCTTGACAAACGAAATTAGCTATGAACAATCATAAAACAAAATATTATTGAGAACAAGGATATAAAACACCTTGAAAAATAGTCCGTGCGTTTCCCTTCCTCTCTTTTTTAAATTAACATTTTCTGTTAATATTCTTGAGGGTGGAATTGTATTTTAACAACGTTTTCGGCCTCACTACTATAATTTTCACTTATTTTTTTAGTTTTCGACATAAATACTCTACTAAATATACATTTATTGCACAATAAATCGTAAATTCGCTTCCAAATGCCTTATAAAATTTTCCTTAATGGTCATTGAAAATATTTCGCGAAAATAAAAATATTGCAATTTTGACAAAAAATGGTTTTTAGTCAGTTTCTACAACTTTGTACATAAACCGTTGTTAAATTTTCACCTTCACCTCACCATGAAGTTTGAAGATTATAGTAATACTTTTTGTTATATTCTTGAGGGTGGAACGCTATTTTAACAATGTTTTGGGCTTCCCTACTATATTTTTCACTTATTTTTTTAGTTTTTGACTTAAATAGTCTACTAAATATACATTTGTTGCTCAATAAATCGTAAACTTGCTTCCAAATAAATAAATGAAATAGAAAAGGATAGGATCAGTAATTGCATACCGATTATCTATAATAATTGTCGCTATGTTGTTAGCAATAGGTATGAGGACGAATCGCTAGCTTCATACCAAACCCCTCTTTTCAATTTTTTCTTTTTAGTTTTTTAGTTTTTGTTTTTTGCTTATGTTTTCTTACCATAACAACAAACTATCAAACACATATTCTTCAAAATATATTTTTTCATGCAAAATCTATTATCGTACATATTTAAACACTTGTAATCAACGATTTAAAACCTAAATTTAAAGATATTTGAATTTAATAGTGGTTACTCAGATAAAGTAATGTACGAAGAAAAAACTCAAAGGAATAAACAAAAAAGCAGAAAATAAATAAAAAAAAATGGAATTGGGAAAGATCGATACCACACTACCAATCCTCAACCAGTCGTATTTAAATCATCGTTCAATTTATTTATTTTCACATTTGCCTCACCGTGAAGTTTTGAAAATTAAGGTAAGACTTTCCGTTAAGATTCTTGAGGGTAGAACCCTATTTTTGGGTCTCACTACTATATTTTTCACTTATTTTTTTAGTTTTTAGCTTAAATATTCTACTAGATATACATTTGTTGCTCAATACATCGTAAATCCACTTCCACATGCCTTACAAAGTTTTCCATTATGCTCATGGAAAATGTTTACCGAAAAAAAAAAATTTGCATTTTTGATAGAAAATGTGGGTTCACACTCACGTTTTTAGTCCGTTTTGCAAATTTGTACATAAATCGTTGTCCAATCTATTCATTTTCACCTTCGCCTCATCGTGAAGTTTTGAAAATTAATGTTAGACATTCCATTGATATTCTTGAGGGTGGAACCCAATTTTAACAATGTTTTGGGTGACACACCCTACCTGGAATGTCCACCTGGACTCTGAATCGAGCTGTGCTGGTCGACACCAGAAAGGTGATGAAGCCATATAGTGTTGTGATGTGGAAAATATAAATAAATTTAAACCTAAAAGTGCCGAAATGCAAGAGTGCGCATGTGAGCGGGAATGAACCCATTTTACACGTGATGTCAGAGCATAAGTAAAGTATAGTAAAGTAGAATGAGAATTCTACCATCGAAGGTGAACTCCTAAACCAAGATTTGTCAAGAATCCTTGTCAACATGAAAGCTCAGTCACTAAAACCTGGAGGGGCGAAAAAAAAAGGGTAAGTGAGCCTAAATATAAAGCTTGTAAAACCTTTTCGAAAATGTAATAACCCCTCACAGTAAAACAAGTATAGTTTCCAAATATATATACTACATATATTATGAAAACATTTATCATAAACAGTAATATCACCATAAAGCAACAATTCACGATATTCAGCATATAAAACGCATGACCATCGATAATCACCATAACTTGAATGAACAAACATACGATATTGGGTCCTCATTGACATTTGCTAACACATGAGTTCATGCAGAGGTATTCTGACATAAATAGGACTGGGTATAATAATGATTTACTCTTTAGTACTACAATCACGTGAAGATTGGCGCTATGTGTGTCACATACGAGTCCTAATTGCTCATAGCAGTCTAGGACATGACTGACACCTATAATGGATCCAAAGTGAGGGAACAATGCGATGTGAACATACATGTGAAGCCTGGCCCTAGCCCGGACGAGTACAAACACCAGTGTAGCACACGATGAACAAATAACGTAATTATATTCATATAATGGTAAATCGATAATTCGATAATTCTAGTCAATGCAATACTATTCATGACCGTAAATCTAATTAAGGCATTAATAATAATACGCATACCTGTGCATCCCATAGAACGTAGCATAATTTCATAAATAATGTTAATATGCTAATTCTTTTAAACGTTATTTTAATCTAAGCGTAATGTGGAAAATTCTTTATCAAATATATAAATGGAAACTAAATAAATATATAATATTTAAAAAGCAAAGCTCCACTCGCAAATCATGTCGTTGGGTCAAACCTGCCTCACAGGCTACGAAGATTATTGCGATGTAGTTTACCTAGAAATGAAACCATTTACGTAAATATATAACGTACTAATGTAAATTCGCGTATTCGTACAAAGTACGACTAATAAAGAAACTATTTTTAAAATGTCGAATTTTGAGAAACGGACTGCGGATTTGGGTTCGGCACGTCGAGAAATCTAAGGAGGGACCTCAGGTTCTTCCACGAGCTGACCACCCACACGCGTCCATGAGTGCCCGCACGCCTGTGAGTACGACTGTACTGGCTTTCCTCGCGAGTTCCTGCAATTTTGCAGGTTTTAATCCAAATTTCAAAGCTCTGTTTGAGCTCATTTCTTAGCCAAAATCAGTGATTTAAGAACCAAATAAAAAATAGGAATATAGGGAACAAAACTATACCCATTGGAAGCCCAGTCGTGGCTGGCGTTGGCCCAAAAAAGGCTGAAAGTGGCTGCATCAATTGCCGGAAAATATGGGGGAAAAACTCCCCGAGATGTTTTCTACATTATATCACCCCCATATCTCATTTTAAGGTTGAAAAACAATATAAGGCTTCGAAATAAGAAGGATGTGAATGTCTTGAGGCTCACCATGGTATGGGAAGGAAATGAATAATGATACGACCATTGTATAGTGCATGTTCAATGGCTGGGTTACATTCATAGCTCGAAGTCCTAGTTTCTATGTTAAAAAGCTTGCAGATCTCGTCAGGGTAACAAGTATAGTGACGTTGATAGTGGTGATCTCTACCTCACAGCCGTACTATGCTTGCCGAGATGAAAGTATGAAAGGGGTTGAGGGAGCTAGGTACAAGACGAGTGACAATGCAAGACGAGTGACAGAGAGAATTAAGGTGGTGGTGAGTGATAGAGAGAGATGAGGTGGTGGTCTAAAATTCGTCGGAATGGTGAAGGTGTGGTGGTGGCTCGATGAAGTTTTACCAAGAGGAGAGAGATATAGTTTGAGTGAAAGAGAAATAGTGTTTAAAAAGAGAGGGTAGGAAAGGGTTTGAGAGTTTAAAAGAGAGAGAGATGTCCAGGATAATGGGAAGGAGATGACACAAGGACAAATGGAAGAGGAGACCCATGTGGGTGGGTCACATAGGCACATATATCCTATAAGAAAATAATAAAATAATAAGGAGAAATATCTAGAATAGTGAATTTACTAAATGCCCTTTTGCTTTGTAGTTTCGTAAAATCTACATCGTAGCTTCAAATTTGATTCTGCTTGCGCCTATGGGTTTGTACTGTCGAGTACTACAGGAATACAGTAAAATAATAACTCATACATGTCATGAAATAATGGTCAACGAAAGTCAACAATCACCTCTCTAGAGGTATTTTGGCCAAATCACACATTTAAAATGAAAAAAATCATAAAATTAGGGACGGGTTGTTACATTAGGCCTCATGACTACATTTTTCACATATTTGTTTAGCTTTCGCCATTAAATGTTCTACTAAATAGACATTTATTGCTCAAAAAACAAAAAAACCACTTCAAAATGTGTTGTAAAGTTTTCATTAATGCTCACTAAAAATATTTTACAAAAATAAAAAATTTGCATTTTTGACAAAAAAATGTGGGTTAACACTCATGATTTTAAGTCAGTTTTACAAATTCGTACATAAATCATCGTTCAATCTATTTGTTTTCACCTTCGCCTTATAGTGAAATTTTGAAAATTAAGGTCAAACTTTCCGTTGAAGTT